AGTATTTTAAGAGCGATTGAAAAGCTTTCAGTGGCCTTGGACGTGGAGTGTCGGTGTGGGAGTCGCTCCTCCGTCTGTACCCGAGTGTTTCTCTACTCAGAGGTGATATGGAGTTGATTTAGGTGCCGAATATTTAACCTCTCTTGCCGATGGCTGACATTAAAAGTCAAAATGCTGAAAAAATGAACTCTAGCCCTTAAAAGTGAAGTTTTTTTAAACCAAATGCTACAATACTTTCTCCCATCCTGACTTCAAGTCAATATGCTGTTTGTAATGCATATTATTTCCAAAATGCAAAGCAAAATTAGAAAGAGTTTTAAGAAAAGTTGAATAAGATATATTTGGTTTTATTCAATTTATTTACTCAATCCTGAATATTAACATAGGCATGTAACTTGTTCTGCTGACCCCAAATATCCCAGAAACTACAGAGCAACGTCTTGGTAAACACCTAAAACTAGAATCATGGTAGTGAATTTCTTCAGAAAAAGTCAAATCTAGTTATTTTTGCCATTACATTTGATGGCGCTTCTGCCACAGAAATGGCACACTTTACCTTTAATAAACAGGAATGAATCTCTCTTCACTGCCGCTCTCTCCAGACCCATAAACAAAGTCAAATATTAATATCAAATGTAAACATTCAGCAGTCTGCATTCAAAGTGAGTCTACAAGTTTTGTCTTTCTCGTACACGTTCCTCCCAACTAACAAGGAAAGTTCTCAGAACTTTGGCTAATTTTCTCTCAAAGTTATACAAACATTCATCCAGTAGCATTAATAGAATGTTCGTTCGAAGTTCTCTGATCTTTAATAAAGTTCGCTAAACATTAGCATAAAAATGTTATTTATAAATCATTCATGGAACATTCGTGTAACATTTTTTAAATGTAACTACTTGTTTCAGAACATTTAGGTAACATTCAAAAATGACTTTTCCATGTTTGCAAAATGATAAAATGGAATGTTAACTTAAAGGGGTTATATGATGTTGCTAAAAAGAACATTATTTGGTGTATTTGGTGTAATGAAATTTGTTTATGTGGTTTAAGGTTCAAAACACACATTATTTTCCACAAACTGTACATTATTGTTTCTGCTTTATGCCCCGCCTTTCTGAAACGCGTCGATTTTTACAAAGCTCATCGGTCTGAAAAGCGAGGTGTGCTGTGATTGGCCAGCTATCCAGTGCGTTGTGATTGGCCGAATACCTCAAGCGTGTGACGGAAATGTTACGCCCCTCACATACTGTTGATGCCGTGTCCCGGCCGGAGCGACGACACAAAAACATTAAACCCCATTATAAACGAGGCATTTGTTGCATCCAAAAATATATACAGATTATAATGACTTACACTGTCTGTGAGTCAGAACAGCCGGCATTGTAGTCTACTCTCCCAGGATCAGGAAACAGTCCTCCATAAAATGTGCTGCACACATCTGAATATTTGGGTTGAAGTGTTCTGGAACAGTGTTGTAAATACAACTTAATCACTGATTTCGCTTTCACAATGAAACACAGCGTCACACACGGCGGGTTAGAGTGAGCGGCGGCCGGCGGATTTGATGAAGGAGCGGCCGGCGGGCTTGCGGCAACCACATGTGACGACCCCGGGCTGGACTCCGCTTCGTCCACGGTGAAAGCCGATCCGGCGATCCACAGCGCGAAGTTGATGTATTTCCTCAGCGACCAGCACAGATCAGCTCCAGGCATGACGAAGCAGATACCGTCCTCTTTTGGAAGACCAAACAAAGTAGTTTCGCTTTCACAACGAAACACACAGCGCCTTCACGACATGGCGGCGGCGGCAACAACAATACTACAGCGAGAATAAAAGTTACACCTTCTTTCTTTGCATGAACATTTGGGAGGCGTTATACAAATCTTCCCAGATCGTGATGTAGTGCTGCACCCATGGTATGGCAGCAAAGTTCCTTGATTATTACGCCAGAATGAGAGTATAGTTCCTAGTCATATCGGCCTAGAAAATCGCAACTTTGAAGAGTCAAGTTTTAAATAGGAAAAATATCGAAACTCTTTGGTCATTTTTGAGCGAGATGCTAACGATCTAATCAGATTCAATGATCTATGCTAAGCTACAGCTAAAAGTGCTACCGCCAGACCCGGAGATCAGCTGAACGGATTCGAAAACGGTAAAACTCAACTGTTTAACTCTAGGGTAGTTGGAAAATGAGCCTATTTTCAAAAATAGTGGAGTGTTCCTTTAAGGGAACATTAACAAAACATTCTTACAACACATTTTTGTCAGCTGGGCTGAAGTTGAAAGGAAAAATACGCCAACCAACCTTACAATAAAAATCAGCCCTATTGTGTTTCACTGGAATATATTTCAAGAATTTTCAATGACATTAGTAAGTACCTACGAAACACTAACAGCCTTTACTGTTCATGCCAAACAAAGTGTTTTCCAGCAATCAGCAGCTATACCGGACAGAGCACAGCAGCATTATTACGGTAAGAGACACTATGGCGTGATTTCACATGGAAATTATTTGTTTCTAAAGGCAGGAACACAAACACGGAGGTTGGATTTAAAAAAGGGGGTCAGACTGACGATGAAAAGAAGAAACTCCGTTAGATTGCAATCAAGGTTTTATGCACAGCACTCATCACAGAAAAGAAGCACGGCCGTTAACTAACAAGTGTACTTCTCTGCACACTCAAACTCCTGTCTGTTGAAACTGAAAGGTTCAAATTTGCATATACTTCTCATCAACAATTATTCCTGTATATATAGCTTATTTACAGAATAACAGAAAAATACTCTCTCTGCATTACAGTTAATTAGCAAGCACTATTGTTCCATGTGATTTTATTTGTCTTCGTTTCTCTATTTGTGAATGCAAATATGAGCAGCACCTGCAGTTATAGGGGTGTTGCAAAAAATGCACAGGCCCAGGACAACATGTTTATGGATCTCCTCATCACAGGGTGCAGGACAACGTTCCCCTGACAACAGCCCTGTCTACTGATGCATTCACATGATGCAAGTGTTTACAGTGTGAACTTGCTGCCATCTAGTGCACTACACTGCACACTACAGTCTTGTCCAATATCAACATGCATATACACTACCGGTCAAAAGTTTGGGATCAGAACGATTTTTTATGTTTTTTAAAGGAGTTTCTTATGCTCATCAAGACTGCATTTATTTGATCAAAAATACAGGATATTGTGTAAAATGGAAAAATTTAATATTGTGAAATATTATTATGATGTAAAAATAAAGTTTTTCTATTTTAATATACATTAAACTGTAATTTATTCCTGTGATGCAAAGCTGAATTTTCAGCATCATTACTCTAAGTCTTCAGTGTCACATGATCCACCAAACAGAATAACTACAGCCTAGCAAGCAAACCAGCATACAAACCTTCCCTTCTTCCCTTTCTAACTAACCAAATTCAAGAGCAAACAGAGAAGCACCACAACAACATAAGACAACCAAACCACATAGAGAAACACAATCAGACAACAGACAGCAATCAGTTTTAGACCAAGCACAACAGACAGATGTACACTTTCTCCATGCAGTAAATACTCTCCTCCTGAATAATTGATTTTTTCACTATTATAACTGCTTCCAAACTCTCAGATGCTCTGTTTATATTGTTCTCCCCGATAAATGTCAAACAAAATACTATAGTAAGTTACAGAAATTGTAGCTACAATAGACTTAGCCACACACACAAAAAAAAGATTCTAAAAGCATAATTCACAATTTGTATAATTTATTATGGTTTTACATCAACAATTGCAACTACAGCTATAGTCACAGCTACAGTTGTCATGGTTACTGATTTAATTAAGTCATTTACTAAACAACTACTAAATGATGCAGTCATTAAAATGATTATTGTGTTGCATATTCACAGATTGGCTTTAAAATAATGATTGCTTTGAATTGAGAATGAAAAGTCATTATAATTAACATGACGTTAATTTGATTTGGTCTGCCAAAAATGTGCTCTGACTGAAAGCTGAAACACAAATGGATGAATAGAAAAACACATTTGTGAAAATCACCAAAGGGCGCATTTGGTCTTCTCTTACAAAAGAGGGCGCTGTTTTCAACATATTCATATTAGAGCACATTAATGAACAGATTAGGAATCGATTACAGCAAACAATCCAACACAGTGACCCTTTAGCAAAACATTTTACCCTCATTCAACACCTGCCCTAAATATATTTGCATGTCTTTCTCCTCCTCCGAAGTTTTTGCAAGCCCTGGAGGAGGAGCGATGCAGATTCATTTGAACAAATCGATTCGCTCGGATGCTTCGTTTTAAAGAACCGGTTCAATACAAACGATTCGCCGACTCGTTTGAGTTATCACTCACAGAAAGATAAATATTCCAAATGAGATCCCAACAGATTTGGTATTTTACGAATAAAACGAGTAAAACTTATATATTGTTGCTCTCTTGTTGTTTTGATTGTTTCTTTGCCCTCAAGTCGCTTTGGATAAAAGCGTCTAAATGATCAAATGTAAATGTAAAACGTTTTAAACATGTTTTTCTACCATGAAATGCCCAGATTTTGAACATGTAGACACGTTATGCTAATTTCATCATGCATTTATGCCATCTCATGAATATGCTAATATTAAATATAATTATATTCATGTAATTACCATGTTATACTACTGTCTGACGCCTCTGAACCTTTTCGCAAGTGTGTTTGTCTGTTTGTAAAACGCAGAAATTTCGACGAAACATGCAAACTTGGCCGTTTTAACTGTATTTAGTGGCGTGATTTTTATACTGTTCGATATTGGCACTGTGATTGTGTTTATTTATTACCTGAGAGACAATATAAGAGACAATATAGTGGCGTTGTTTATGATTCCAACATACACCTCACAGCACAGAGTCGAGTGATTTACAAACGCTGGTGAATCTGTGCGATTGAATCATTTGGGAGATTCGGTTCAAACGAACGATTCGTTCACATCAGCCACTGCAGCCTGCCAAACCCCCGCCGCCTGTGCAGACGATGGAGAGGCGGATCTGATCTCATCGGATCTACCGACAAACATGCTGTTCGATCAAACCCGCTTTCCCCGCAAAAATCACCGACTTGATTGATATGTGAACTGAATCAGGTAACGCGGTTTGTTCATATGTCTGTGTTGCGTTTGTGTGTCCGGTTCGGACAACTGTCACATGGGCCGCGTACTAAAACCTAGCGAGCTGCCTACGTAGACAGCACTTTGGGACATTGTAGTTTCATATCCAAGTGTGCTGCTTGCTTAGCCCGTACTTTGAGGCAAAGGAGACACGGAAACATGTTAGCAGAATCCATGCATCTTTGTCTTGAATCCAAGTGCACTATCTAGTAAGCGAGCGTAGTAGATTTTGAGACACCGCCACAGTCCCGCATTGCGGCCTGCTACAGCATATACAACGCTTTTTAATACTAACTATTTGATTTAAAGGTTATTTAGTTTGATGAACGCATGATCAGCAGTGGCCGATGATTGACAGCTGTCATTTGTTTGTTTTGAAGCCTTCGTGAGACCGAAATCAGCTGTCAAACAAACATGTATCTGATTGATTCGCGCCAAAGCTGGGAAAACGTCAAAAACTACTTGCAGATATAACATTTTGCCTGGTTTATTTATACGCAGGGAAGGTAATCTTGTTTTTTACTCGACTGTTTGAACGTTTAGCAATAAATTAGTGGCTTTAATTCCAGTCACCGTTGGGAATCAGTCTGTGTTAGCTTAGCTTGCGTGTTGCTAATAGACTGTAGCGTTTCGCCCTCTGGGATAAAATGAGTATAATTGGCATATAAATTGTCTAAGGGCGTAAAATGAATATGTAAATATGAATGTGAACTTTTGTGTTAGGATTTAAAGCTTCATTGACTCGTATCCGATCGGTTAGCACAGAGGCTAACAAACACAGCGGCTACGGAAGTCGAATTGAAAACATCTGAATTTATCCGCGTTTATTTATCTATTGGTGGTCGTTCAATAAGAGATTGCATAGGATATTTCTATAGTAACAAATGCTCTGAAACATAAAGTACCATGGTAATATTATAGTATTCTTTGAATTACCTTAGATTAACGTGAATGCATGGTTATATGGTAATGCATCATGTTTTTTAGACATGAACCAAGCTATTCCTCTGTGCATATCAGTGTGTGTGTGATCATAGAAGTGTATAGTGTTTGTGTGTACTTATATATGTATATGTTTATATGTAAATTAGTAGTTATTACATATATAGTTATACATAATCCATGTTTAAAGTGTGTGATCTAATATTAGCAGAGCGCTCAGATTGTGTGTAGATTAGAAGAAGCACGAGACTCGTGGGGAGCAGAGTTGGGAGCTTTTCTGTACTTGGTTAGATTCGCCTTTGTTGGTCTGCTGTTTAGTGAGATCAAACTAACTGATAGTTCCTCGTGTCAGATGAGCTCAGGATCAGCTGATCGACATTTGATGTTTTCTCATCACTTCTGTAAGTGACAGCAGACACTGATGTCTGATAAGAGGAAGCTTGTTATGAAACAGGACGGTTAATTTCATATATCAGTAATGGCATATATCATAATATAGCTTTATTTACTGTAAAAAAAAGCATATATATATATATATATATATATATATATATGTATATGTACATGTTTGTGTGTATATATATATGTGTGTGTGTGTGGGTAATAAATTATACACACATACTTGTAAATTGTACATTTATTTATTTGGTGTATAAATATAGATACAGTACATTTAAATTAAATATAAATAAATTGTATGTGTGTGCACAACAGTACAAATTTTTATATAAATAAATACATAAATTAAAAAAAAATTATAAAATTTATATTTAGTTTACATTTATCTGCACTTATTTATTTGGTATGTAATATAGATAAATTTAAATTAAATATAAAGAAATTGAATAAAAAACACAATTATAAAATGTATATGTATTTAATTGGTATAAATTTATATACATTTAAATTAAATATAAATAAAAAGTGTGTGTGTGTGTGTGTGTGTGTGTAAATAAAATAAATTCCTAAAAATACAAAAATGTATATAAATGTGTATGTATGTATGTATGTAGGGTTAAAGATTAGTGGTTTTATATATATAAATATTATGCATTCATTAAATATGTATATACATAAAAGCATATTAATCGCAAGTAACGTGTCTACTTTAATGTTTCTTTTGTAAACTTTTGTAAAAAGAAAAATGTCAAAATATGGGTGAAATAATGTTCCATCGTCATTCAGTCAGTGTAACAGATACATTTATGTAAAAATTAAACAACATACTGTATGTATGCTGATTTATTAAAATATATAAAAGAAAAATTGAGCATACTAAACTGTAGTACATTTTAAATTCTGACAGGATTTTTGTTATATGAACTACTCTTACATTGAATGGCATTTTTGTGGGTGTCTTCTGTAAATCATGGTAAAAATGTATGACGATTATAATTTTTTGCTCAGAAAAATAAAATAAACACGACACGTTCTAATGTACAGCCTTAAAATCTGTATTAAACTTTTATTGTTTAAAGCTTGAAAACTCCTTATCATCTTTGACCTATATGTGTGTGTGTGTGAGTGTGTGAGTGTGTGAGTGAGTGTGAGTGTG